CCTTCCATGAGAAGCTGAGCATGTTCCTCAGTGGTTTGAAATTTTTGAGTTCTTCAATATCCATAGCCTTCAATATAAAATTCAAACTTCCTCTTACAAGCCTATCATAATGTGTCCCTTCCCTCCTGTCCTTCCCCTTCTTTTACCTTCCCCAGTGTTTACCATGTGTGCCATTCTTCCTGTGGTGCTCTTCCTCACTGCTGAGCCTTTACTCATACTATTTTCTCTGCCTGCAGTGACCTTGACTTACCTCCTTTCTTTGACTGGCTAACTCCTCAGCCTGTCCTTCAAGGGCTACCTCTGGCATTTGCCTCTCCCAGAAACCATCTCTGACCCATTTCATGGGTCATAGCATCACTGCAGTTTCTTTTCTGTCTCCAGTAAGGAGACTGGTGATGACAAGGATCCTCTTATCTTTATAATTCCATCAGTCAATGAGTGTTTTCTAAATAACTGAATAGTGTTTCCCGTTATCATTTCTTGCAATTCCTGATTTGAGAGCTATATATTTATATAAATAGTTCAGCCAGTATTTTGGCTGTAGTGCAGGGAATGTGTTGTTTCTTCTAGTACTCCACAATGATGCTAATTTCCTTTTTGTACAAGAAAAAAATCACTGTGGATTTTAATACCTGCCAAAATTGTTCTTACTAGTTTTTGTTTGTGGTGCCCAGTATCAATTTGACAAGTATGTATTATGTCTAGTACTAGTTATGAGTGATACAAAAGAAACATTTCCCACACGAAACAGTATATTAGTCAGCTCCAACTGCCATAACAAAATATCATGGACTAGGTGGCTTAAACAAGAGAAATTTATTTTCCCACGGTTCTGGAGGCTGGAAGTCTGAGATCAGGCTGCCAGCATGGTCTGAGTTCTGGTGAGGACTCTTCCTGGCTTGCAGATGGCTGCCTTCTCCCTGTGTTCTCACATGGCTGGGCAGAGAGAGAAAAGGCGTGAGGGAGGGAATCGAGATCTCGCTTCTCCTCTTTTTGTAAGGCCACAGGCCTATCAGATTAGGACCCTACCCTTATGATCTCATTTAACCTTAATTACCTCCTAAAGACCCTGTCTCCAGATACAGCCTCTTTGGGAGTTAGGGCTTCAACATATGAATTTGGGGGGAACACAGGTCCGAATGTTAAGAATTGTTCCTTCTTGACTGTCAGTTCATTTTTAAGTGTAAGGCACTGAGAGGCTCATCGGAAGCTCTGGGTATGTGGTTGGGGCTTGTTTACTGGTGGGCCTCACTGTAAAGTGATTGAAGAAGTTAGCTGTTTTGTTGAGACCCCCAAGATGTCCGTATCTTAAGTCTTTCTTCCTGGGCAGCTGGCTAATTTCCAGAATTCTAACTTCCTGTCTGCAGAATATAAGTGTTACATGTCCAGACTTACATGAGAGACAAGCAGGGGAAATGGGCAGGAATCTTACACTTTGGTATGCAGACTTTCATTCAGTCCACCCTCCCTGGATGTCCCCAGGTCCAGAGCTTCTGTGTTTCAATCTCTGCTGAGAGTAAACCTCCTGTGTTCCAATGGGGTAAGAGAGGAACAGCCTTCCCATCAGTTCAGTCTAGGGAAAGCGGGGAGGGAGCAGCACTAACTGATCTTATATAGACTTTCAGTTAATCCTCCTATTTTTCATCCCTGTCGCCCACACTGGATATTTGAGGTTTCTCTCACCTCTCCAGGGTTCTCACCACAATTTACCTTAGTTTTTTATTGTGTGTTCCCTGAAGGTTTGGGTTTCAGCTTTCTCTGCTAAGTCAGTTACTATTCCATTTATTTTTTATTGTCCAAATTTTGATCGACTTCTCTTGCCTGGAGACTTCTCTGTTGTTAACTTATTCTTTTGTTGGCATTTTTAGTAGAGTTTCAGGAGAAAGCTAAAAGTGTGTATCCATTGATGAAGTTCAGGACACACTACCCCAAAATATAGCACCTTGGAATATTGAATATGTTAAGCTGAAGGAGTTTAACAATAGCAGAAGCAGAGAGGTCACTCTGCCCTCCTCCCCCCCTCCCCCTCCTTTCCTGAAAGCAGGAGATAAGTCTCCTGTGTGTACCAGGAGGAAGGGAGACATCCTTATCACCAGAGACAGAATTTAGGGCCTGGAAGGCTATATAAACTTGGTTACTTTTTCACCTTTTACTACCCATAGCCCAAATGCCTTATTCTTGCTAATTCTTCACAAATTTCTTGTTTCGTTGTCTAAAAGGTATAAAAGTTTCCTGCTCTGTTCACTTCTTTGAGTCTTCGTTCTCTTGTGAAGGCTGTCGTGTACATGTAAAAATTTAATAATATTTGTATGCTTTTCTCCTTTTAATCTGTCTGGGTCAGTTTAAGTTTCAGGCCTGCCAGGGACTCTAAGAGGGTCAAGGAAAACTTTTTCCTCTCTTAGCCCATCATGTTTAACCAGAACCAGGCTGCTTTCTTACTGTGCAGAGCTGTTATGTAGGTTTATATGAGTAAGACTAAACTAGTTGGGAAATTATCCCAGTCATTCTGCTTTCCCATAGAAATTTTCCTGTAGCAGTTACACAGTTTGGAAAATGACACAGCTGACGGTGGTGGTGATTTTGTGTTTCGTGTCTGGCTGGAGACGAATATGAAATAGTTTTTACCACATTATAAGTAGTTAAAGACTGGTACTACATCTTTGAACTTAGATTACAAAACGAGGACTGCCATATGGTGGAGAATGCTGATCGAGCTGCCTAGAAGACTAAGACAAATATATGGAAGAAAGAAATTATATAAAACTTGTAATATAGTAAAAGCAAATGTTGGAGAAGCAGCATAAGTATATTTGCTTGCCAGAGAGAGAAGTAGATCTGGAAGTAGGAGGCAAGATGCAAGTATATCTTCTGAAATTGTTTTTAGCTTGGAAGAAATATTGGAAGATTTCTTCCCCCCTCCCCAAAAGCTACAATTGAATGATTGGTTCATGTTATACTTCATGTCTTAAAAATAAAGAAATAGAGTTCTTTGGAAGTCTTATCTACGATCCTAGAATTTACCTTATCTTACTTTATCCCAGATTTACTCAATCTACTATAATTCAGTTTAATTCCACAAACATTTACTAAGTACTTGCTGTGGGGTGGTGGGTAGAAGAGAGTGGAAAGTTGAAGAAAGACTAAATTCAGCTCCTATCTTCCAGGATTTTTTAATCTAATGGAAGACACTTGAAAACAACTAACCAAGAAAGAGAACAAAGTTGCTACAATCAGTAGCAACTATTTGGGGAGCAAAGAGAAAGAAGGTTTATTATGACATGGGAGGGAATTAGGAAAGACCTTGACATTGAAGTCAACGAGACCTAGATTCATAAGGTGCCTTTGACATGTACAGCAATTAGTGGGTAATTCAGTGTGAATAGGAATACTTGGAAGGTTGTGGTAGGATATAAGGCTAGAATGTCAATTTAAGGAGTTTTTAACTTCATTTAATAGACAGTGGGAATTATGACACATTGTGAGGTAGAAAGATCTGACCCTTTAAGGGAGAAAACTCGCGTTGAGACAGCAAGATTGCAGAGGCATGTATTGAAAGAGTCTCGAAAGAAATAGTAGCAGCTGTCATAGTAATCACTGTGATGGTGATTGTACTACGGGAGCTCAAAAAAGAGTGACACCCCTGTGGACTGGGAAGGCTGTAAGTCCAATGTGAGCTAAGCCTTGAAGGGTGAGTGGGAGTCAAAATACATCAGCTCTGTTGTGAACTTTAATTTTTTTTTTTTTTTATGAGGAAGATCAGCCCTGAGGTAACATCTTCCAATCCTCCTCTTTTTACTGAGGAAGAGGGCCCTGGGCTAACATCCATGCCCATCTTCCTCCACTTTATATGGGATGCTGCCACAGCATGGCTTGACAAGCAGTGCGTCGGTGCGCGCCCGGATCCAAACCTCCAAACCCCGGGCCACCACAGCGGAGCGCGCGCACTTAACCGCTTGCATCACTGGGCCGGCCCCGTGAACTTGAATTTTAAATTAGTTTAATATCACAACATATCTCAGTGTTGATGTGACAAAGCAAGCAACCATTATTTAACCTTTAATTCAACCAAATAAAAGTTGATTGAGCAAAGTGAAGTCTTGTTTCCTAATACTTGGTTCTTTCATTTATAAAATAAAGACTTGCTCTCTATCTTCAAGTTTAAGGGTTAGCATGTCAGGAATTAATTAAGCCCTGTAGTCATATGAGATAAAAAAAATACATAGTCATATAAGATGAAAAATGGACCTGAAGTGAGGACAGGAGAAGGACACGTTGCAAAAAGGAGGACATGTAAGTCTAGAAGAATGTGTAAGGCAATAACAAAAGAAATAGCAGATAAAGGTTAAGAAATAATGATTTATAATATCAGAAAAATGATACAGAAGAAAGTAAAAGACTCAATTACAGAAAATAAGTGGGGTAGTGGGCTAAATTCCTCTCCTGAAAATTGAGAATTGAGGAGGAATGATCAAGTTAAAGAACAATGTGCCCCTGCTGGCGGGATAGAGCATGCTGTGAAGGCCTAACCAAGCTGTGACCAGGTTTACGTTAAAATTTCCCCCAAGAAATGTAGGTGGTGAATCTCAGCTACAACATTTTTATGCCAATAATTATGTTGGGTTTTATAAATTCTGAATTGAGCTAATTAATTATTCCACTTGACGATATGCTTTGGTTTTCAGTTCTGACCTGAAAATGTTTTGTGTGTTCATTTAAAAACAGAGAAAAAACCGATTAGGGTGTCACAACAGTCATCTTTACTGAATTAAATGCCATGGAATAATTTATTAGACTGTAGTTGATTTTATAAAATCAAGGTGGAAATGAAATGAGTCTTTGCTGCTTATCAAAAGTAAAAATTATACTCTAAAGTTTTTAAGTCATGACTTTTTATTTTATGTTTTTAACAAAGGCTCAAAATAATCTTTAGAAGATGACTAATGAGGGAGTGAGGGGAGTGCATCATAAATTTTAACACAGATAATCATGTTTATATGCAGTTGGCTGGGGAACAGACCAGGGAATTGGCGGATTCGGAGAGGAGCCAGGAATTAAATCTCAGCTAACGAACCTTATTCGATCTGTAAGAACTGTGATGAGAGGTAAGAAGAAAAACTAGTGGAACACTCTTAAGTTTTAATTTTGTGGTTTGATTTAAGTAGCAAAGTTTCCGAGTGTGAATACTATCACGTACCATTTTCGCAGTGGGAATTTTTTTCTCTTTAACCTGGCTTTACTGCTTTCATAGTTTGCCTCTTATTTTTGTTTAAGCTAGTTGATGCAAATGGAATGATCAGTGATATAATCCGTTTGTATGTTACCTCTCAGAGTTGAAAGACAATGATGTTCTTGCCTTTTGAAAACTCGGTTGCTTCCAAGTAGTAAAGTCATCTAGAGTATTGTAAGGCTTTCAAGAGAAAAATAAAGGTCCCCTATCTGTTATTCTATTATAAAATATTTTAGAGCAACTCAAGAAAGAAGAATTTAAAACCTTTTACTTAAAACCGTGAAAATTAGGATCTCTCTCTCGTCTCTCTGTCTCCCTCTTTCTTTATATAGCTGCCTTAATCACAGCTCACAACTTTGGATAGAATGATAAATAAGTTCATTCTTAATTTAGTGATGAAGCTATGGAATCTTCTTTGCACTGTATTTCTAACGTCAGATGTCACTGGCAGTAGAATGTAAGTCTACTTCTGCCTGGGTCCAGTGTGCTTCTCTGTTCTCAGAGCTGCACCAGCACTATCCACAGATGTTTTTGTATTGATCTAGTTCTACCAGTGTGAACCTTATCCCCAGTCACACAAGCCTCTTTCAAGTAAGTTTTGGATTTTATGATCCAGTGCATGTTTGAATGTTTCTCTGTTACAAGTATTTGCAACATGATTATGATGACATATTGTTAGTATTTTTATCCTTTCTGGATGCTAGTAACTATGACTTAGTTTTTTCCTGATATTTTCTTTATAGTAACAAACTGTTTTGTTTCTTTGCAGTGCCATTGATAATAGTAAACTCAATTGCAATTGTATTGCTTTTACTATTTGGATGAAGATCAATGGGGGAAATGGAGATTCAGAAGAAGAGCTGCCAGCAGAAGTTATTACTTCAGTCTTTATTGGAGTATACGTATCTTAGCTGGCTGTCCTTGGACTTGACAAAAATGTAATCCTGACAATAAAACCAGAATCCCTATTTATCTGATTTTTTTAAATGTTGCACTTATAGTTTCATTAGAAAAAGATCAGATCATCAGAGGCAGTAACTATCCAGGACTGGAATACATTTGATTGCTGACTGTTAATAAAAGTTTATGCTATGCTAATAATTGTTAAAAGGGTACAGGACTGTCATTTCTGTGTTTTTAGAGATTTTTCTCTCTCACTTCTCAGGGATGAATTTTTTTTTCAAAGTTTTGAAGTTCCTTGTGACTTAGCTATGATATGAGTGTGATTATCTTCCTAGATAAAATTTAAAGGATTTTTTAAAAGTAATTACGACATATAAAATGATAACTAGATAATTTGGATAATTTTATTTTGAACTGTTTGATTAAATATTTTGTCTATATATTGTCTCAGCTATGAAAAATTTATAGTAACTATTGAGAAGCAGTACTCTCTGATTTCAGGGAGAATTCTAATTTTGTAAGTCAGATAGTCACATGATGATTGTGTTTTTGTTTTAAATTCTTTTCATGCATTTGTTATTTATTAATTGGCCTGAATGATGAGACCAGATCAGTATCTACATATTTTTGTTGGTAGAAAAACCTGTGTAGAAAAGTCCATGCCCTTTTTACAATGATGACTTATTTTTTTTAATCAGCATAAATATTAGCCTGTAAGAGCAATCCTAAACAATCACAATTAAACTATACTACATAAGAAGACTTTATTGTGAAGCATTTACCCCTCCCCAAATTATCACATTTCCATCTCTTTGAGTAGCACAAGAAGCAGTATGATTCTTAATTCTTCATTCTGTCTGTCAGTAGAGCATTCATGCTGGATAAGTTGTTTTTTGTTTTGTTTTTATGTCTTAGACCATCCCATATTTGCTCATCCCGTAATACAGTTTTATGCAGAAAGATTAAAACTATGTAAATGGTTTTTCTGGAAATTATCAGTTATAATACTTTAAAGGGTGTGGAATGGCATCTTTGTTTATAGGAGAACATTTCTAAATAAAAGTTAAATTTTGAAGTCAAGCACTTGTTTTTGTACCTTAGTATATACCTGTCAGTGTTAACTGAATTAATCTCATTTTGTTGTAATACTTCTTATATATGTTCCTTGCTGTAAAATCACTGAGCACAGATTTAATGAAAGTAAACATTCACAATCCATTTTTTGCTTCAATGAATTAACTGAATTGCTGACATATATCAAGAAGACTCATGAGCAACTTTTAATCTGTGACTTAAGTTACTTCTGAAGCTTTGGAGCAGGTATTGAATGCCTCTTGGCCATGTCTGAGCTAGAGATGGATGATCTCTGGGCCTCGGGTTTGCAGCTGAACCAAAGAAATGTACCAGGGATTCTTAGTTGATTACTTAGCTCATGTGAGTAACTAACATATTTGGCACTTAGAGGCAATGTTCTTTTGGCCTGACAAAGATCTGATGCATGAATCCGAGTTTAAGTCACTGAACAGATTCGAAAGAAGCCGTTAATTGAGAGCACTCCCATTTCTCTACAGGCTATGAGCCATACAGAATTTTAAAAAGAAAAGAGAGACCTTGGCCTAAGGCCATTTTCATGTCAGACATTACAACACACCTTCATGTTCATTTAGTTTCGGGATACTGTCCAAGTTCACACTCCAATGAGCAGCAGTCACAGCAGGGCAGGATCAGAGTATTCTGTAGCAAAGCAGTTCTGAGGAAAGTGAAGCACTGAACATCAAAATATTTCATCTCTGGAGGCCACTTACACGATGCTAGCTTTAATGTGCCTGAAGGGAGGTCTGTAAGCTTTCACAGGTTAGCCCTGCTTTCCCCAGAGCAGTTCCGATTCAGTAACTATAGTAACTTATTTTAGTAGACAGCAACTTAAGTGCCCGTTTGCTTCCTCACATCCTCCCCGTTAGCCATTCTCAGGATTAACAACTTGTGATCATTCTGGACTCCAAATATCTGTGATGTTGATGGTCCCTTATGTATTCCGACTCTGCGTCTGTATGCCCCTACCCTGTTATGAAGGATCTTGGCTCTAGTCTATAGATGTTGACCAAATTCATACCCTAACCCTTAAGTACAGTGGTTTTCAAACTTTGTTAACAGCAGAACCAGGTTTTCAAAGTAATAATATCATAGAATGTAATCCTCCAATATCTAAGACAAATGAGAGCAGGTCCATTTATTTTTAGTTGAAATAGGGATGAAGCCCAAAGGCCCACTGTTCAACCTCCACCCCACTCTTGTCAAGCTTCCAAAGACACTTTCACAAAACTCTTAAGTTTTCAAAAACATGGTTAAAAGGTATCTTTTTAAAAAATCCCTGCTTTCTATAGAGTAGGCAATGCAATCTGTGCTCTGCAGCTATATGCAATCACTTGTGTGCCTGTGTATATACTCATGAAAAGACTGAGAGAAAGCAATATATTTGGTAGTAAAAAGAGTAAGAGGCGGGATATTTCTAATATGCCAAGCAAAACTTTTTATCACGTGACTTAAACTTCCTGAGACCTCAGTTGTTTTTGGCTGCTTCATCTGTAAAATTGGTCAATAACTGTTTCAGAACAGAAATCTAGTCCAAATGATTTATGTATATCTTTTCCAGGTCACTAACCTTTGAGTCTAGACGTACCTCAACCAGAGATGTTCTCCTAAAGTAAAGTGTTTTTTGGTGAAATAAATCACTTTCTCATTGCTTACAGTTTCAAAGTCATTACCAATAATAAAATTTTGATACTAAGCAAAATGGAATTATTTTTTGCTAAAATTTTCCTTGGCCACTGATTGGTCGTTAGATGTCAGATACTGTGAAAACATTCTGTGCAAGAATCTGGGACACATAATGGGCAATGTCCAAGAGTATTAATGATCAAGATAAGTTTTGGAATCCTACTCTTTGTTTCAGTTCTGAGACTGGTTTATGTCTCCACTCCCCCTTTGAGTTTTTGCCCCATCTTTTCTTTCCCAAATTTAGCCCCTCCCTTTTGACGTCCCATCCCTTCTTTATTCATCTTGCCCTTTGGCAAGCAAAGCCATTTGAGTCTTTTTTTGTTTATTTGTTTGATTGTTTTTGTGAGGAGATCAGCCCTGTGCTAACATCTGCCAATTCTCCTGTTTTTTTGCTGAGAAAGACTGGCCCTGGGCTAACATCCGTGCCCATCTTCCTCCACTTTATATGGGACGCCGCCACAGCATGGCTTGCCAAGCAGTGCAACGGTGCACACCCTGGATCCAAACAGGCAAACCCGGCAGCTGAAGCGGAGCACCCGCACTCAACCACTTGCGCCCTGGGGGCCTGAGGAAGAAGCCACTAGCCAGTTCCATTATTTCTCATCATAGTGAATGACACCATCAGTTATACTACCCAGTTGCCCAAGCCTGGAACCTAGTTCTTGATGCCTTCCTCTCCCTTACCCTCAATCTAATCTATCACCAATTTCTATATGACCTCCTAAAGATGTCTTCAATTTGTCTTTGCTTTGTTTCCACACATTTTAGTTTAAACAGCTCTCTTGTAGCCCTGCCTTAGCTTCTTTTCTGGTCTCACGTACATTTTGGCACCTCTCCCATCCATTCTCCATATTGCATCCAGAGGAAATATTTACAAAAATGCGTGTCTTTTGTGTGTGTGTGTGTGAGGAAGATCAGCCCTGAGCTAACATCTATTGCCGATCCTCCTCCTTCCCCCACCCCCGACACAGCCCCAGTAGATAGTTGTATGTCATAGTTGTACCTCATTCTAGTTGCTGTATGTGGGACGTGGCCTCAGCATGGCCAGAGAAGTGGTGTGTCGGTGCGTGCCCGGGATCGGAACCCGGGCCGCCAGTAGCAGAGCGCGAAAAACGCGTGTCTTAGTATTACCTACTCGCGGGCAGGCCCCATGGCTTAGCGGTTAAGTGCGCGTGCTCCGCCAATGGGGGCCCAGGTTCCGAACCCCGGGCGGCGCACCCACGCACCGCTTATCCGGCCATGCTGAGGCGGTGTCCCACATGCAGCAACTAGAAGGATGTGCAGCTATGACATACAACTATCTACTGGGGCTTTGGGGGGAAAAAAATAAAAAATTTAAAAATATATATATATTAAAAAATATATATATTACCTACTCGCTTCAAATGCTTTGGTGGTGTTTTAATCTGACCAAAGACACAGCTCCTAGTTCTGAAGGGGAAACAGGTTCCTTTTCCTTCAACCAAGTAGGCCCCTCACACAAAGCACTTAGACTTAACAAATATGAATAAGACAAAAACAATCTCCAGACTCAGTGGGGAGGAAAAGCAGAGGGTCCCTAGTCCAGGGGACAGAAAGGGTTATGGCTCACAACATGGCTGACTTCAACACTGGCAGGGGAGATGTTGGACGGTGTTCCAGCAGGTATGAGTCTCCAGTCAAGGCCAAGAGCAGCCGTTTTTCAAGGGGTTCTACGTGTGTAAACCAAGTTGTGTATCCTATTACGTCAGACTGCCTCAGAAAGTTTTTCATTTAGTCATTTTCATAGAGAGAGAATAGGATGACCTCTCTGCCCTTAAGGAGTTTAGTTTATTTGGATGGAAGGAAGACAAGTAGAGACTCAAGCTGTGTGGGCAGAGGCAGAGCAGTGAGGGAGGTGGTTCTTCGTAATCCCAGATATTGCTCTCCTAGGGATGACAGGCAAGGCCTGTGGTAGCTCTCTCTAATAAGAGAAAGGCAGGGTGGAAAACTTAGCGTAAGGTTTTGGAATAGCTGATGCAGGAAAAGAGGGACCTCGCTACCTGAGGTCGTGGTTAATAAAGACAGCAATAAGTGTCCGATGCTATTCAAGTAGCAAAGCAGGAAATGACGTTTTCAGAGATTGGGTGTTTGAAGAAAAATATCAAGGAGATGACCTCTGAGTTACTCCTCGAGAATGGACGGTAAGTGGCGGAGTGAGGGAGGGTAGCGGCAAAGAAAGTCAATAATTCTTGGTTCAACAATGGTGCTGTGGAATGGGCAACAGCTACAAGGAAAGGCAGAGGTTTCTGTTTCCCTCTTGCATCTGGGCCCAGCAGGCCGCACCCTTGAAAGAGCGGGTCTCAAGAACAACTTCTCGTTCGCCTCGATGGCGGTGAAGGAGCAGGACTAGAGCCAGTAGCGGCCGTCGGAAACTGGGAGGGAACGCTTGGCGGAGGGGGCGGAGACGGATGAGGGAAGGCGGGACTTCCGGTGCGCCGCTGGCCAGTTTCTGGCATCGAGCAGGCGGCTGCAGGGTCCTCTGTGAGGACGCTGTGGGTCGCCAGGCTGTGCTGCTTTCCTGTTAGCGGGGCCTTTGCTGAGGACGGCGTGCGGAGTGGGGGTGAGGAGCCGCTCTGGGATGGGCGACCGTCCGTCTTTCTGGAGGCTGCATTTCTTTGTGAGAGGGCGCGGGGTCATACCTGGAGCGTCTGTAGGCCGCCCCCCGTTCCTCCTCACGAAGCATGAACCAACCCGCGCGCTCGCTCCTTGAGGACTGCCCACCCCGCCGGGCGGGCCCGCCCCCTCGGCCGCGGCGCTACCACGCGTGCGCGGAGCGGGGTGCCAGGCGCTTCCTCCAGGTAGTGGGTTCGCGTGGCTGTTCGTCGCGCAGGGGCAGACCGCCCCTCTAGTGTGTCAGTCATTCCTCGGAACGTGCCCCTGGACTGTATTTCGAGGCTGGCGTCCGTTCCAGTCTGACGTTGGCCAGGCCCTGGAATTTGGGGCGGGTCAGAATGCAGTGACCGTCCTGAGGCCCTTTCCCACCCAGGAAATGGAGGGGAACGCTGTTTAGTTAGTGCTGAAAGATCCTTATTCTTGGAATCCGTCCTGTTAGAGAGACCTGGATTCCTGAGTTTAGTTAATTCAGAAGTCTTTATTGAGCGCTAAATAGTATCGTGGGAAAGGCAGCGCAGCCCCTTAACTCACAGAGCTTGACGGTTTGCGCAGAGTGATAAATGCGCTAATGGGAGCACGCTGGAGTGGGGGCGGGGGGGGCGCCGTCATGGCCCAGCCCTGGGAGAAAAGGAGTTGGACTCAGGAACGCCAGAGGAAATGATGCTTTT